GAAGTTAATAATCGGAATAATTTTTTTTTTAAAAGTCTGTCTCGCGCGAGCAAAAGTTCATCTCACGCGAGATATTTGCTCGCTCGCAGACCGTGAACTTCTTTGCTCGCGAGGTTAGTCTCTGCTCGCGCTGAAGGAGTTTTCTACGCGCTCGCTGTTGTTCTTTTTGACAGTAAGGGGGCGGAGCCAGTCACCATGGTCTCTACACCTGGAGTGATGCATTCACACAACTATAGAAGCCCATTTCCGCACTAATGAAAGGGGAAATTATGAGCTAAAACGTTGTCAAAAAACAAACGCCCCCCTTCGGTAATCGTAGTGGACCGTAGATGACAACCAGCTACAACCATCATTTACCATCATTACCGGCACATTAAGAGCAATGCGTCCAGCTCGCAGACCGGTCCGTCAGTCTGAATCTGAATATCTTGCCAACTTTACCGAACTATGGAGGAGCCTGCGCATATCTTATCTCATTATTTCGACTTTCCAAAAAGTCGATCCGTATTGAAAGTTGGCAAGATATTCACAGATTTAGACTTTTTTACGGTATTTTACAAATACGGACCGGTCTGAGACTAAGAGCAGCTTTTTCTTCATTTAAAAGAAAAATGAATCTGTTTAATATATTTTTTACATAGGCTACTTCCATATTGTGTTGAAATAAAAGCTGAATTGGTTCTTGCATTGTTGATAGAAAAACATATTTGTGACAAAGATTTTTTTTTCTCTTATAAAAAATTAGAGAAGGTAATTCATCTGTTGATTTTCTTTAATTATCAAATAAAGTAGGAAGTGATTAGCAACCTCTGAGTAGCAAACTCACATTTGAGAAAATTTAGAAAATCGAGATGCATCGATAATCGTTTTATCGGTTTAGAATCGATAATCGGTTTAGAATCGATAATCGGTTTAGAATCGAATCGTTGACCTCTGAATCGAAAATTGAATCGTGAGGTGCCAAGAGATTCCACCCCTAATGTTTGCCCACTTCATCATCTATGAGCACACAGCTCTGAAACCAGACTGTGTTACAGACACTGTAGCAGTATTTCATTTATTTAGTTGCTGGCATGAATATTCTATATTCTATTCTATCTAATATAATTGGAGGGAGGTTGTCATGCTTCAAGTCTTTATTTTGATCGTCCCATAATGTTACAACTGAATTTGTATTTGAATTAGATTTGCAATGTTTTAATCACAGTATGTGAATAATAAATTGACAGACCTTGAGCAGTTAACTTGTCTTTTCCTCATGTATCCCTCCCCACTTTATCCTCACCCATCACACATTCAGTTTAACAGCAATGATAAAGGCAGCATCGCTTTGTTGTTATTATTTTTTGAATCCAAGAACATCTGATTTTTAAGTAGTCCGACATACATTCAGGTCATTTATTTAATCAAGACACACCCAAGTGTTTTTGTAAGAACACCCCTTTCACTGTTTTCTCATCCTTTCGCCTCAGTCTTACCCGTCTAACTGACTAACACCGTGTCTTGAGATTCCCGTTTGGATCCTTTGTGCCCGGCTGTAATTCTTTTCCAAGGCAAGACAGAAATAGAGAAAGAAAATCAAGAAGAAAAAAAGAAAAAGAACATTTTCAATAATCATAATAATCAGTGCATTGACTAACCAACAGAGAAACAGGTGTGTGTGTGTGTGTGTGTGTGTGTGTGTGTGTGTGTGTGTGTGTGTGTGTGTGTGTGTGTGTGTGTGTTTGTGTGTGTGTGTGTGTGTGTGTGTGTGTGAGAGACAGAGAGAGTAGGAGGATGGAGGTGGCAATGCATCATGTTCCCTCTGTTATTTACTCGGAAATCACCCAAACACGCTACTGGTCTCCTGCTATTATTTGCCCCCCGTTTGTGTCTTCAGTCTGAGCGCCTGTTTTTATCCTTGTGTCTTGTCCAATCCGGCGTGTGCATGTGCATATCTTTTTGCCGATGGTGTATATCTGCTTGTGTCGGGGTCTGTGCACCAGTGTCCTTGTCTGTGTGCTTGTGCACGATTTATATTTGTTTCCTGTGCCTTCCCCCCTGCTGTGCGTTACACCCTGTCTGAGGTTTACAGCTGGCGTGCGTGCATGTGCGTGTGCGTGCGTGCGTGCATGTGCGTGTGCAGTCGTATTTTTCCGGATTGGGAATACAACTCCTCGGACAATCTGAGGGTGAATTTCACGCTAGTTACTGCTTGTCGTCAAACGCTTCTTGCTTAAAATACTGCTCTTTTATTGGTGAATGTTCGCGTCGAATTCACCGTCAGACCCCTGAGTGCCCCGCTGCCCTCGAGAAGGACCGAAAGCGTGTGTGTGTGTGTGTGTGTGTGTGTGTGTGTGTGTTGTGTATAAGTGTGATTAAGAGACAGAGGAAGACTAATCGTAGTCAAAGTTTGGTGCTGCTTTTCAGTTGACACTAATTAGTGCTGTAAGTATGTATGTAACTCTGTACCGCAGAGATATGAAGACATAAAGTTTTGTTCTTTTTCCCTGCATACACACACAGTCACTCACAGATCTGGTGCCAAGCTTAGGGGAGGAAAGACCCAGTGTAGCTACAGTCGTATGTGTTCACTTAGCAAGCCGCAGCTGCTAGTGCCATTACTACGATTTCCTGTGTGTGTGAGTCTCTCTGTCTATCTGCTCCCTCAACACACACATCTAAGGGCCTTACCCAAATGGGTTTTAGCGGAACACATATTTTACACCCGCCTGAGTCGCTCTGATGTTCAGGTGCTTCACTGTAAAATGTGACCCGGCTTGTCTTCTAATGCGTATCGCAGCCTGAAAAAAAAAATGACGTATTCCCCCAAAACCCCTTTCTAAAAAAACAAAGGAAGGAACTCATAACCTGAACTTTGCGGCTGAACAAAGGAAAGAGCAATAGCTTTTTTTTTTTTTTTTGGTGCCTCAATACTAAAAGCTCTCGTATTTAAACGGGCAATGGAAAAACAAAGGACACATTTGTTTAATAGAATAATCCTTCCTGTGTTCAAGATGACTTCAAAGCTTTCAAATTTGAGTATTAATGTTTCGACAAGCTGTTCAATCAGTTGTTTTTTAAGGACATCGCAAATGGCAGGCTGTCTCTGAAATAGGTTTGCTTGTTTTACCTGACCCACTTTTCCTTCGCTGTGTGTGTGTGTGTGTGTGTGTGTGTGCGCGCGGGCCCTCTTTGCTCAGAAGGTTGTAAATGTAATCTTAGACACATGTTACTTCGGCTGATGTTTTTCAGATTGATGTCAGCTGCGATTAGCATATCTCCTGCCAAGACACAGGAGTGCTCTTTAGAGCCTGGCCTCATACACACTCGCTCACAAACACACACACAAACCGCTGGGTAAACATAGCTCAGCTGCCATTTTGAATGATTGCACGATGATTATTTGATGCAGTGATTTATTTTGAACGCAGCCTGTAAAGTAAACTGAGGCGGGAAAGGATGAGAAATCTGACTGACAAGCTCCAAAACAAAATTCTACCCCGGGACAGGCTCTCGACACTCCTTTCTCAGCAACATATTATTACATCTTGGCCACACACACACACACAAAAAAACTCTCCCCGGCCTCCAACTTTAATTTCACCCCGTCTGTTTCTTAAAACGCCGTCTGCCGAGTGCAGCCACGTTAAATGCAGCTGTGACCATCTCACTCCGGTGCCGAAACTGTTTCATTTACATCCATCTCGTACCCGCGGATGGAGAATTCCTCCTTCAGTGCAAGACGGCGGGGGGAACTGTGTAAGAAAAACGAATTTCTCGCCATCTCTGGAGAGCGGACGATATATAGGGATTCAGAACACACCCTTCAGACAATGGAAGAGGAGGAGAGGGGGGGTCTTATTTTCTCTTCTTCTCCCCCCCCCCACCCTTCTTTCCACTGTCTCTCTCCACACATCCCTGACCCTGCTTTCCCTCAACCTGCCCAGCAGAGTGAGAGAATAAGTGTAGCACCAACAGGAGGAGGAGGGCGGGTGGGCGGGGGGGGGCAGAAAGAAAGTCAGATAAAAGTAGTTAAAAGAGGGTTGGGGGAGGTGAAGGGGGTGGGGGGTGAGGAATAACAGAAGAGTGACTGACCAAATACCCAGCTACAGAACTAGAGGGGAAGACAGATGCAGAGTGCGGTCGGGGGGGGGAGAAGATGAGAATATATATGCGGTGGCCAGTGTTGTGAGACAAGGCAGGTTGCTGTCACTTTAAAAATGACTGTAATAAAAGTGACCGTCGGAAGATGGATCTGGTGATTTTGGCTTGCTAATCAGTCATCTGTGAAGAGGACCACAGCCCAGATTCAGCGGCCGCCCCGACACCTCTTGATTGATGCCTGTGCCCGATAAAAAAAAAAAGGCCCATTAACTGTCCTCCTATTAAAGTGGGTGAAATGGCAGAAAAGAATGCTCTCTCTCTCTCTCTCTCTCTCCAATTCTCCTCCTCCAATCTCTCTTTCATTTAAAACCTTCATTCTTTTATGTATTCTGCCCTTTTTTCCCGTCCTTATCAGCTCGCCGTATGCGCTCTCTACACAAGGTAGTTTTTCTTCTTACAGTTATTATTGAGATAGTGAGAGAGATGTTAATCAGCGAGGCCTGCTCGTGTGTTTGCACAGGATGTCACATATACTGTACTTCAGTACGGTCCTCACTCCTCAAAATCAATAGGTGTCCAAAAGGCACACCAGTCAATGCTTCGGCTGGTTCCCGCGCCACTAATTCTTGTTAAGTATGCAAACGAGCCTGCAGAATCAGTGACTTCCGGGCCACCTTTCAACCTCGTGACGTGCGTCAAAAAATATATAATAATAATGACCCTGCAGCTGAATCTCATATCTCCTCATCTCGCCATCTCTCTCTCAGACATATACACAAACACACACACACACACACACACACACAAAGATTGCCTGCAATAATAATAACCCCACAGACGACAGCTTCAGCCCCCTCCCTCCCATCCCCTCACCCCCACCTCCCACATACAATCAAACAAAGCCTCTCTCTTACCTTGCGCATGACCAATCCTTCCATCTCTCCCTCTTTTTTTTTTTTTTCTCTATGCATGCTCTTCCATTTCTGGAAACCCCACCACACCTAACAGCAACACCTTACACTCTGCCTACCATCCCACAGCCTACAGCGCGCCACTCACACCCCCAATAAATACAGCCCTGGTCTGCTGTTTTCCCATCTATCCCTTTTTTTATCTGCCCCAGTCTCTTTACCCTCTCTCTCTCTCTCTCTCTATCTCTCTCCCTTCCTCTCTCCCTCTGTCTTTCCCTCTCCCCTCGCTCCTGGCTGGTGCTGGTGAAATATCAGGGCAAACGGATTCCAGCTTTTTTCTCTGGCTCAGAGGGGTTGTTCTGTGCGATTTGGCCCTGGGGTGCATTTCAGCGCTTCTGATGTGAAAGAGAGGGAGCGAGAGAGAGAGAGACAGAAGGAGAGTGAGAGAGAGAGGGGGGGGGGCAATGGAGAGATAGAGAAAGGAAGTGTAAGAGGGAGAGAGAGAGGGAGAAAAGAGACATCGACAGGGTTTATCCTCTCTGTCTATGGGGCAGTCAGGTTTTAAAGCGGCGGTCTTTTGAACGGCGTTGCACCAGCAACTGAAGGTGTGCGTGCTCTCTCTGGCTTACAGGGGCCTTGAGGTGATCTCCATACAGAATCAGGACAGTCCACCTCCATGACAGGTGCACGGCCATCTTGGAATCTCTCTGACGAAGGCGACCGGAGCAGAGTGTCCGTGTTCGTGGAAAAGATGAACGACTGCAGCATGCGGTGGTTAAATTAAAAGAAATAACTTTTTCACTAGATACTTAGTCATTAACACGGGGTCTGGAATTTGATTTAATTATATATTTTCCACTGAGATGCTTCAAGACACACATAAACAGATACTATCAAATACTTAAAAATCCATCTGTTTTTACTGATTTAACTAAACTAACCAATGAATTAATTATTATAACCTTTAGTAAAAACGGAAAAGAATATATTCATCTGAACAAATCTGAAGAATATTTTAGTTTCCTTTGAATTAACGATAGCAATTTGAAGGACTTTGCGGTATTTTAAATTTTTCAGGCCCGTCCTGTTCTCCAGAAACTCATTTTTTCAAAGCACATAATTTTGTGGTAGAATTTATTTGAGATTCCTGCTGCTGATGTTTTACCTTCTTTTTTGTGTGTCCATGCACATGCAGTTTGCACAACTTCCAACGTGCATGCACACGTGTGTGTGTGTGTGTGTGTGTGTGTGTGTGTGTTTATGTTTCCTAATCTCAGATCTCAATGTGGGGCGTTCTAAAAGGATTTGTCATTCTCAGCTCAGTTGGGCTGATTGTGAATTAAATTTATTTTTAGCCACCTTTTTTCCATCCTTTTGTGAACCCAGTTAGAATTGAGGTCAGGACACACAAACAGACATACATGCAAGCACACGCGCAAATGCACACACCATCTCAGAGAAGGACACATAGCTTTCAGAACAAATCACTGTTGAACTAGCCTGTGTGGAATGATTCTGACATTTTGTTTGGGAGAAATAGCATTTAATTGAAGGGAGGGGCGATACGGATGGCAGTTATGCAACCAAGGGAAAATGTCTACATTTCAACCCAAATTGAAAACATAACAGAGTTTGTCTGTGCGTGTATGTCTGTGCATGTGTGTCTTTGTGTGTGTGTGTGTGTGTGTGTGTGTGTGTGTGTGTGTGTGTGTTTTGCTTGCACTATTCACTGTTTACTTATTTGATTGTGAATTAGTTCAAATTAAGAGGTCCGTTCCATTAAAAAAAACAATATTGGTCTAACGTTATAAGTTTATTATAAATTTACATCTAGAATTATCAAGTGTGAAGCTCTCGAATGGCCACGTAATCATTTTTCTGTTTAATTATTTCGTCCTATATTTTTCCTTTTTTTTGTGATGATTACAGCTGTTAATATATTGAAATTGTGTTAATTATTGAGTTCTCAATATCCCATAACAGAAAATATTTCTTCATTGTCCTCATTAACTTCCGCACGCATTTGAAATCTGTTTGGGCCTCTGCCGTTTCTTAATGTGTTTCTTAATTGTTAAATGTCCAAAGGGGGGAAACGTATGCCTTTTGCCCCGAACCCAGTGAGGTCAGAGGTCAGACTCATCTTCAGAACAAGCATGAGGAGCAGGGACTGACTCAGTCTTTCTCTCAATGGCACTTCCGCACGGTAGACGCTTGCAGAAACGACTGCTTGAACTCAGGTCATCCGGTTTAATGACGGTCACAAGGAAAGGAGGCTGAAGAGGCCCCATAAGGACTCTTCCACTGTAGTGATGAAGCCAACAAGCAAATTTAGGGGTCACTGCAGAACTCAGAAATGACGCCTCTCTATCTCCCTTTCTTTCTCTCTCTTCATTCTCTCTTTCGCTCCAAGTGTTGCCAATTTGTCTGAGCCGCATCCGCTAATCCGTGCGCATTTACGCATTGGTCATTGCGCCTCCGGTTGACTTGGCTGGCTTGATATATGATGGCGTCCAGGCGGGAGACTGACTGACTGTACAAGCTCAGAGCTTGTGTTGGGTGGTAACTCCTTTCTTTTCTGCCAGGTTTTAATGCAAAGTACAAGGAGTGGTGAAAAGAATGTCCACAAACAACACGTTCAATTTCTTTCTTTCTTTTTTTATTACAATAAAACATGAACCAAATGACAGCAAAGCCTCAATGTAATTTTTTTAAAATAGGGATTGAAATTCATTTAAATTTTTAATATTCGCTAATTATAAATATTTTCTTTTTTGCTCGGTTAAATAAAAATAATCTGGCAGCTGCGGTGTCACTGTGTGCAATTCAGGAAACGTAAACTACATTGTATTGCTTTTATTTCATGGGTAATATATTAGTTTCAGAGCACCGGATACGAGACATTTCTGTCGCTTCTGACATGGGTGTCAATCTGTTGCCATAGAACTCCCTTCTCGGTACTTCCCGGGTTATTTGCCGTGTTGGGACGCCCCACTGAGCGGCAGAGGAAAAAAGAGGGGGGTGGGGGGGGGGGGACGTAGGGGCCCTGGCTCGATGATGGGGTGGGAAGGTGGAGGGGTGACAGTCCCCGGGAGAGAGGGAGAGTAGGGGCTCCTGGAATGGACCTCTCGGACCACTAAATTGACATGTTGAAGCTCCTGGGTGGAAAAAGAAAGCACTCTAATAAGCCGTGTGACAACATGCAGCTGAGCAGTCTTACTTTCATGAGGCCATTAAACAGCAGGCCTCCTGCTAGATTTCAAATCATGTCATTATCGCTGGAATTTATTCTAAGTCAGGTTTTATTGTACTGGTTTATGCGTAAAACTATATTTATATTATTACTTCATCATTGTTGTTGCTTTTGTTATTGCTATTTATTCCCTGATATGTGGCATTTTTCCTAAATCTCGTAATAGTGCGCTAATGTGTGATTTGAAAAATGCTGCATCTTCAATTTATGCAGTTTTGATGCAGCAGTTCTCAATATCGTGTTATGCAAATCACGGTTTAATTAATAATAGCGAGTCACTCAAGTGATTCTGATCAGGTCCAACAACGTCCTCTTATTTGATACGGAGCACACAGGTGCTTTTGTTCCCAACCAAGGCGGCTTTACAGGTCTGTGGGAGTATGTGGACCTGAGTGATAATCAATAGAATTTGGCGTGGAACGGGACTGGAGGCGGGTGGCCGTGTTTTGTGTTACGGGGCAACGCGAGGAGGCCGTTTCCGTCCATATGTGGAGGACGCTCACTTGACGCGTGTCTATTAAAGAGGGATCAACAATGAGAAATATCGGAGGACTAAAGGGCCAAGTGGGAGGAGGGCAGACTGAATGGTAACCGCAGTAGGGGTTCGCGTTGCAGTGTGAGGGGGGGGGGCGCACATCATGGAGGGGGCGGGGGGGGGGGTCGGCGTGTTCCCGACAGTGTGCGCGCTCTTGTCCCGAGTAGATTTCCCTCACGCGTAAACGCGGCCGAAACGCGGTGCGACGACGCCTGCCAAGTCACCCACCTCCTCCAGTCCCGTGGCTGTTGTTCTCCTCCTCCTCCTCCTCCTCCTCCACCTTGTTTGCTCGCCACAACAGTTGGTCCTCTTCGGAGCGATATCTCGGCCGCAGCTGCCCCGCCTGCGTCTGGGTAAAGTCTTTACAGTCAGGGGCGATCGATGGCTCTTATCAAATAAACAGAGTGGCACCGGCGGCCGCACGGACCCCCGAAACCTCCACCCCCACCCTCATGCTCCTGTCTCCTAATCTTCCCCCCCTCATCCCAACCCAACCCACCTCCTCCCTGCTCGAGAGCCCTAGCAGCTGTGGTCCCGTGTAAATTTTACATGATTGGCACCTCTTTATTTTACCCCCCCCCCCCCCCCCTCCACCTGTCTCCATCCCCCTGTTCCCTGCCCCTCTCCATATCGTATCATGTTGCATATTAATGCGCGGTTTATGCAACATCTCATCCGACAGGGAGCACGCGCTCTTCTGGGGAATCTGCATATACCTGATTGCCTGAAAGTGCTTGATTGTTGCGATGTGATGCTGAAATGTGATATTTGGATATGTGGAGACAAAGTGTGTGGGGGGGAGAGGAGGGGGGGCGCTTCCCCTTGACCCTTGAAATGTAACGTATTCCCGTGCGGCCCCGTTTGATTGGGGCTATTTTCTGTCTAATTGTTGTCATCAGGAGTCGCGCTATCACTCCGCATCTGGAAGCACTTTGACGTCCAAGTCAGTGGTTCTCGAAAGTGCGGTTCAAGAATCGTCGAAAGGAGCCCCCCCCCCCCCCCCCCTATAGAACTGTTTAATTTTTACCGTGATTTTATTAACATACAATTATTCCAATTAGAAAGCACGTGTCTGAATGGAGGTTTCAGATGTACGCGTCACACGTACAGCAGGGTTACAATGTGAGTCTAAATTGACCAAAAAAAACAAAAACATGTTGGGGTCCCGGAGATAGAATCTAATTAAACGGGGACCCTTGGCTTAAGGTGTGTCCATTCGGGGGTCCTTGACATGAACATGCTGGAGAAGCCCTGATCTAAGTGACTGAGGCAAAGGGGTTGAATTGACAGTCTTTGTTTCTTTTTTCCCTTCTCTCCGTACCCCCCCCCCCCCCCCCCACCACCTCCCTGTCTCTCTCTCTCTCAACCTCTCTCTATTTCTGCGTAACCCCCCCCCCCCCCCCCTCCTCTCTCCTTTAAAGGGAACGGAAGAGTGGGCTGATACTGGTCTCATGTTGCGTATAGATTTTCGTTTATATAATCGATCGAAATGTCCCAATACATTGATTTCGGGTTCAGTGTTTTACAAACAAGCGTTTATGGGTCTCGATTTTATGTTAGGA